CGACTAGTTGACGACAGGCATAAAAAGTCACTATAGTGAAGTCGACTAGTTCATACAACCCCTACTGCTCCCCAGTGTTCTGCAGCGCACGTTCTCTTTGAACTTGATATCAAATTTTCGCCTCCTCTTTGTCTCCGCACGGTTAAAGTTACCCTCGCGGTCTATCACTGGCAAATCAAAAGTGAGACGATGACACAACAGCCCCCGTACTTGCTTGTTACCACATTCCACCCGGCCACAATAAGAGACCGGCCATTATTCACCTCCGCCGACTCCGACACTGGCCAAAATATTAGACCCGGCCGTTAATTGAATACAGGCCTGTATTGGAGGATTTACGATATATATGTATATATATATATATATATATATATATATATATATATATATATATATATATATATAATTTTACGACGTTGTCACTTAAAGCTACATTGAGTCAGTGTTTTTTATTTAACAGCACTTCTAGTGGTTGAAAACTGTATTGAACCTTACGCCGTTGTTTTCACTTTCGTTTTTACGTCCGAGAGCACCGCTCCTTGTTCATGAATGTGCACCTCTAGCCGACAAACAGAGCTAAAATTGTTTTACAATTATTATTCTCGTGTTATTTTTTGTATCTCTATATTTTAATAACTTCCATGATAAAAGTCACCAACTTTGCATCTGTCTAGGTACATCCTCAAATGCTCACGCATGCTCTGACTGACATCTGTACGTAAGCAGATGTCTAACGCTGTTGGCTAATGCTGAAAGATGGTCAGTTCTGATTGCATGGAGCTCTACAGGATTGGGGAAGAGCTTAGCATAAGAAAACAGACATATTACGTACATTATATTACAGTACATGATAAGATTATCACTTTAACTGATTTCCCCTAAAAAAAGTCATACAGCTGTTTCTGCTGGTGTTCCCCAGGGCTCTGTCCTTGGACCTCTCTTATTCATCATCTACATTCTTCCACTTGACCAAATCTTTCTTAAATACAAGACAAATTTCCACTGCGACGCAGATGACACCCAGATCTATATCTCCTCTCAACCCGATGCAATCTTCCCTCCAGCCTCCTTGTCCAGCTGTCTCCTTGAGATAAATCATGGTTCTCATCAAACTTCCTGAAACTCAACAGCAAAAAAACTGAAATTCTAGGGAAACCCTCCACTCTGAACAAATCTCCCAGCATATCAATGAACATCGATAATTCCTCCATCCTTCCTTCCCCCATGTCATCCTAGACAGCACTCCATCATTCAAATCCCACATCAACATCATTGGCTCAGCCCACTTTCATTTACACGACATCAGCCGACTCCGCCCCTCTCTCACTCCTCATGCTACAGCCATCCTCGCACACAGCCTAGTCACTTCTAGGACTGATCACTGTAACTCTCTCCTTTTTGGTCTCCCCCATAAATCCCTTCATCTGCTCCAACTCCTTCAAAATGCTGCTGCACGGATCATCACTCATACCCTCTCCAGAGATCACATCAGCCCTGTTCTTCAGCGTCTCCACTGGCTACCTACTGAACACAGAATCTCCTTCAAAATCCTGCTTCTTACCTAAAAATGTATCCACTCTTGCCCCTCCTTGCCTCTCTGATCTCATCCATGTTGCTGTCCCATCCCGCTCCCTCAGGTCTTCCTCTGCCGTTCACCTTGTGGTTCCTCCTGCTCGTCTCACCCCCGTTGGAAACAGAGCTTTCAGTTGCTCTGCTCCTCGGCTCTGGAACTCACTTCCTCCTGACATCCGAAACACAGACTCTCTTCTCATTCAAATCCAAACTCAAAATTCACCTGTTCAAAGTGGCTTACACTCTCTGGTCCACAAACTCTCCACTCTGTAATTTACAGTATATTCTTTGTAATTCTATTGTTGAAATGATCTTATTCTTATTTACGTGTAAGTTATATCATGTTTTGTGAGGTGACCTTGGGTTTTGAAAGGCACCTATAAATTAAAAGCATTATCCATTTATTATTATTATTATTATTATTATTATTATTATTATTATATTTTTTTTGTATATTTGTATGCTTTCACTGAAGTGCCAGAATCAATCCATGCTTCTAAGGCAGTTTCAGGGTTAGTTTATGGAAAGCGTCCTTCTGATGATGTGGGCACTTCCCAGAAGAACAATCTTCTGGATTTCTTGGACTGTTGGGTTTCCAGGAATCTGTTTTGTTCTCTTTTCCAGTCCCTTCTTGATGAGGCCAAGTGCACCCACTACGACGGGTATTGTTGTTGTCTTCATCCCCCACATTCTTGTGACTTCTATTTCCAGGTCCTTGTACTTTGATAGCTTTTCAAGCTCCTTGGTGGTGACATTTTTTTCAGATGGGATGGTCATATCAATCATGAGGCAGGTCTTCTCTTCTTTGTTTTTGATGACTATGTCTGGTCTGTTGGCCATGATTTCTCTGTCTGTGTTGATTGGCATGTCCCACAACACTGCGATGTTGTTTTCAGTCACTGTTGGTGGTTGGTGGTCATACCACTTATCTGCAGCTGGTAGATGGAAATGTTTGCAAATCTTCCAGTGGATATAGCTTGCTGCCCTGTCGTGTCTGTGGATGTACTCAGTTCTGGCTAGAGTGGGGCAGCCTGAGACAATGTGGTCAATGGTTTCTTCATATTGGCTGCACATTCTACACATGGGGTCTGTTCCATCTTTCATGATCTTGTGGTGATATGATCTCGTTGACAGGCTCTGGTCTTGTGCTGCTATCAACAATCCTTCAGTTTCTGCCTTCAGTCCTGCACTGCGTAGCCACTGATGAGTATGATCTTGTTCTACATCAGCTTTTTTTACTCTCAAGGGGTATTGTCCATGCATTGGTTTTTCCTCCCATGTTTCTCTCATCCTTTTTTGTGCCCATTTCTTTGCCTCCCTTCTGGTCCTCTTGGCAAAGCTTGTTACTGTTTCTTTCTCTATTCTTGCCACCTCTGGGATGTTTAGTTCCTGTGCATATCTTATAGCTTCTTTTGTAACAGAGTACAGCTTCTTTCGAGCTTCATGTTGACAAACGAGGATCAGTAGGGCATCGTCTGTTGTTTCAAGGTAGGTTTTCAATGCCATTGTTGTTGTTTTGTAAGCCATCTCAAGTTGGATAAGTCCTCTGCCTCCAATCTGTCTTGGTAGATACATTCTTTCAACATCCGCTTTTGGGTGGTGCATTCTTTCAGAAGTCAGCAATTTTCTGGTCTTGGTGTCTAGTTTCTTTACTTCTTTAAGTTGCCAGTTGATGATATTAAAACTGTATGTAACCGTTGGAACAGCTAAAAAGTTGATAGCTTTGATGTCATTTGCAGCATTGAGTTCACTCTTGATAACAAGCCTAACTCTTCTGTAGTACTCTTTTTTTTAACCTTTTCTTTCATGGTAGCATGTTGTATTCCATCTCCTTCATTGACCCCAAGATATTTGTATGTATCCTCTTGATTGAGCTCCATTATGACAGTCTCTTGGTCCAATTGTATGTTTGATGTTGATGTGAGTTTTCCCTTTTTGAATGTAGCCTTTGCACATTTGTCAAGTCCAAATTGCATGCAGATGTCATCACTGAAGAGCTTGACTATTTGCAGTAGTCCCTCTTGTTTGTTATCATTTTTGGCATAGGTCTTCAGATCATCCATGTAAAAAAGGTGGTTGATCTTCTTGCCTTGAACCTCATAGCTATGTTCACTGTTGTTTAGCATGGTGCTGAGTGGGGCTAGACATAGACAGAAAAGGAGAGGTTATAGTGAGTCTCCTTGAAAGATACCACACCTCGCTTTTATTGGTCTTGTCTTGATGGATCTTTCATCATAAGTGAGCATCATAGTGGTCCTCCATGATTCCATACCTGTCTTCATGAATGTAATGAGAGTTGGTGAGATTCTATGAAGTTCCATTACTTTGATGATCCATGAGTGTGGTATGCTGTCGAAGGCTTTCCTGTAGTCTATCCATGCTGTACTCAGGTTTTTCTTCTTCCCCTTGCTGTCTTCCAGTATCATCTTGTTGATCAGGAGTTGGTCTTTGCTTCCATAACTACCTCTCTTACAGCCTTTTTGTTCTGGTGGTAGCATGTTGTTGTTGTCGAGGAAGGTGTATGTTCTCTCTGTGATAATACTTGTGAGAATCTTGTACATCGTTGGTAAGCATGTGATTGGTCTGTAATTCTTAGGGTTTTTTGTGTCATTGGTCTTGGGTAGCAGGTATGCTAGACCCTGTTATTATTATTATTATTATTATCATTATTATCATCATAATCATCATCTAAGACGGAAAGTCAAAATTGTGGCTTTAAACGTTTTATGTTCAGTCTAACCTGGCCTTATTTGAAAAGGTTAGGTGACTGCTATTTTAAACAGCTAACTGTGTATAACTACACTATTTGGAAAGCCAAATTCAGCTCCATGAGCCACACCCACACCTGATTACTGCTGGAGCTGCAGAAGAAATCACCTGCCTGACCAAAGGAAGTAGGTTAAAAGATCAGATCGGGGATTGCCGTGCCCAAGAACACAATAACTGTCATGGATGGAACTGGGGTTTGACCAGCAACCCACCAGTAAGCTGTAGAAAAAGAATATTGTGCCAAAAGTAAAGCATGGTGGTTATGATGTGATGATTTGGGGTTGGGACTTTTTCTTCATTTAATGCCGATGCGATGCCAAGGATATTACAGTTACTACAGTTAAGGGTGGATTACTTTTCCACAGACAAACTTCATCCAAGATCATAAAATAACTTACAATAAATAGGTGGATACTTTTTATTTCCTCGGTAAAACAATGACATTGTTGTGATTTACAACGGTCGTTCTCTACCTGTAGTTCCCACACGATTGTATCTGAAATATTCATTGTGGTGTGTTTGCGTCACACTGAAGATTTCCTTCATCTTCTTCTCCCCGCTGTGGTTGTAGCTCAAACGTTGTATCATGTTTTAAAATACAGGCTGCAGCATACAGTTTCTGTTTTCCTATGTAAAAAAGTCAGCTGTTGGAAATTTTGGAAAGCTTGTCAATAAATAACCAAACCGATCTTCCCATCCAGGGTGAACTAAAGATCTTCTTGCCCAATGAGAAAATGAAACGTATACAGGGACTGCCACATGGATATTAAAGCATGCAAATGACCGAGAATACGTCAGAGGTTTTATTGTGCTACTAGTTAGTGAAACACACAAGTGGAAGTGATCTGTTGACTAAAAACACTTTTTATTAAGGCAGCAGGAAAGTTCCTGTGGATTTTTTTGCCGATATGGGGAAGTTGGTCAATTATGTGACCTATAAAGCCACACTGAGAAACATGAGGGCTGTAAATCTGGAACAAACTCACAAGGTAAGGTGACTTGTGACTGAGATGCTGTCTGGGTTGTTAGGGGAAAAAATAAATTAGGAATTTTGCTGCATTTCTGAAAAAAATAACTGTGTAATTTCAATATTTGTTACATAAATTGGTGGGAAATCTCCTTTTAAATTTAAATACTATTTAAATAAAATAGATGCCTTGAGATGAAATCAAGTGAATGGTTTAATTTGAATAAGACCGTTTTCTTCAGAAAATTTGTTTTTGTTTTTTTGTACTCTGAATTTTTTCCCGTTCTTTTATTTTTGTCACCCAGATGAATTTGTTTGTCTTCTGCGTCTTCTGTCCGTTCCTACGAGTAAGCTGTTCGAATCCTCTGAGCCACTGGACTCTGCTGCCCAACGGTGCATTTCATCTCCATCTAAACATCTTTTCAGGCATATTTTGTTCCCAATCTTTTACTATTCTGTGTATTTGTCCCATGGTAGTCCTGGTTCTGGAAGTGGATGGCACGTGGGGTGACCACCAATTGAGTTGTCTGGCAGAAGATTCTCTACACAGAGACAACCAGACTCGAGATATTGTTTGGAGGAAAAATGGCGAAGAGGAAGCACATGGCAATTCATACCAGGTGCGGTTGGTGGAAAGTTTGGGGGGGGGGGGGGGGGGGGGGGTAACTACACCTGCCACAGCAAGGATTGGTCAGTCCTAAATCACACGGAGGTCTTGATCATGCAGCACCAAACCAATAGAAGGAGGATTCTTGAAAAACCCGAGCAGGGTACGACATGTTCCAGGACACAGCCTGGTGTATTAAACCAGATTTGATGCTAAATGATCTCGTTTTCCTGCTTTTCCCATTAGAAGACTATTTAAAATGCTCCGCTCAGAACTACAGTGGAGAGTTCCATTGCTCCTGGACGTGGCACACCAGTCGTGTCGGCAAAGTAGCCTTCATCAAAGCTCGACAGTAAGACGTGTTTTACATGAACTTGTGAGTGCTTCATGTAAAATAACCTTGGCCACCCTTTCAGTGTGTCGGATGATAACAGCACTCTGTGCTCCGTGGATGCCAGCACCCAACAGTGGATGTGCTCCTCAGCTCACGGGAACTTTACCTGCTCCGTGGACAAGAGCGGGAACAGCATTTCCTGCCAGGACATGCAGCACTGTCCATTTGCTGAGGAGAGCCAGCAGATCCACGTCACCGTCTACGTGAAGACCAGCCAGTTTCTGTTGGAGAGCTATTCCAAACTCTTTTTTCTATCAGAGATTGGTGAGACATCCTCAGGGAAAATATCTTTTCAATGTTGTTTTCATGCTTTTGATTTAACCAGTTTCCTGTGTCTTTGCAGTGAAACCCGACAAGGTGAGAATTTGGAAAGTCAACACAACAGTGGTGGAGTGGAGTTACCCGAGCTCCTGGAACACTCCCTACTCCTACTTCCCTCTCACGTTCCAGACTTTCCAGGTCAGGGGAAAATGCAGGGAATGTGAAAACCCATGCAAAGGTTCTAAACGGTCCAAGGTAAGAAGGAAATTGTGTAACAAAATATTAATCACATCACTATTTTATCACAGCATAACCATTTCAACTATAATGTTTATTTTCCAGACTGTGACAGTTCACTCCACGGACATTTGCCTGTTTAGAGTGAAGCACAGGGTGAAAGCTGTGTGTGTGCGAGCCAAGGATGCTCTGTGTGACTCTCAGTGGAGTGAGTGGAGCCACGTCAGGTTGGTGCCTCTCTCTGGTGTAACATGGGATATTCCCTACGTGCTTACCTGACTTTCCTTCCACCAGAGAGCTCACACACCTTCCAGCTGACTCTCTGCAAGACCTTTCATATGATCACTTCTGCTTTGAGCCTCCTTTGTAGTTTCTGCTGTTGGTTTATTTTCATAAAACCAGCTGAGTTTTGATGAAAAAAAATGAAGTAAAAAATATTGAAATGTCAATGATTCATCTCACTTATTTTTTTTTCATTTTCTTTTTAATTACAGACTAAGGAGAAGCAGGAAAAGCAATAAGAACAGACATCTGCAAAACTCTGTAAGAAAGAAGGAAAATGTTCTTGAACTCTGAAGAACCAAATATCTAAATCAATTCTTCAATTATTTGTAAACTTCCTAATCATCAAGTTTATTTATCTGTATTTAAATTGTGTTTTCATTCATGTAACTTTTATGTTTCATGTGTAACTTTAAAATGAGTCAACATAGTAAACAAGTACAAATATGAAGTAAGTTTGTGGACATAAGGTGCCAAAATTGGTAAATGCTCAAGGCATATGAACATGTTTGCCAGGCCATACATACATACATATATATATAGATATACTGTATATATATATATATGTATATATATATATATATATATATATATATATATATATATATATATATACTGTATATATATATATATATATATATATATATATATATATATATATATATATATATATATATATATATATATATATATATATATAGATGTGTGTGTATATATATATACATCAGTGGCGGCTGGTGAAAAATATTTTTGGTGGGGCTGTGCTGTTTTTTATTTTTAAACAAACTTGTGCTTTCTGAGCTTTGTGCACAACTTCACTATTTCCTGAATTAAGCACAGCTCTTTTATTTCCTGTCTTACATCATTGGACAAACTGATTAATCCAGGTGTGTCTGACTATTGGCAAACTGCCTTGCGGACCAAGGTTGAAAAATACTGCATTAAATTGCACATAAAATAACACGACCATAAATGGTAAATAGGCAATGCAAGAGGCAAGTAACAAAAACATTTTGTTTAATTTCAACATTTGAGTGAACACCAAAAATTATGAGCAGGTCACTGTTACAGTAATGGTAGTAAACACTACTTAGACAAAATGCCAGAAATTTACACTGTTAAATATTTCTGGAGTGTTGTGCCAAGGTCAACTTTATACAAAGATCAAGTGGATGCATGTGTGTGTGTGTGTGTGTGTGTGTGTGTGTGTGTGTGTGTGTGTGTGTGTGTGTGTGTGTGTGTGTGTGTGTGTGTGTGTGTGTGTGTGTGTGTGTGTGTGTGTGTGTGATACCTCATTTGTACAGAAATTTTGCCCTTCTGTCCTTCTGAGTGGCAAAGCTCTCGATGAGCTTTTTATTGAAGTCAGGAATGTTTGTGACAAGCTTTTTTTCCATGGAGAGCATGGCAAGAGCATTCAGCCCATCCTGTGTCATGGTGTTCCTCAAGGAAAGTCTTGATCCTCTTTAAAGTAGATAAATAAAAAAACAACAGATAAGTACATAGGAAACACTTTCATAGGAAATAATGTCATCAGTATCCTCTTACAAATGTCATATTTCCCAGTTTTTGGGACAATAAAACATTTCTGATTCTCAATCAGATGTTTTTACATTTGAGGTAAAATCAGAATCAGAAATGTTTAATTGTCCCAAAAGCTGGAAAATTTGTTTGCTGCAGCAGAAGTGTAACAAGTAAAATGGAATCAGATTGATGTATGTACAAATTTACTTGAAATACACATTTACGTGATTAAATATGTATAATAAGTATGTGTGTTGAAATTAGTTTTTACAGTTATTGCACATTAAACATGTTATTAAACAAATGTCCCGGTATGTGGGACAACCAAGGATTTCTGATTCTGATTGTCTTGTTCACAGAAATGTAATGTACAGCTTACCTCTGCACCCAGCTGCTGTTCTCCCTGTCCAAACGTCCTCCGTTTCTTCCATTTCCCTCGTCGAGTTGCAAGGCAACGTTAGCTCTGCTGCCTAGCATGGCTAGCTTCACCGTGTTGTTGTCCATGTGTGCCCGGGATGACTCGTGTTTCTTCCCCTTCTCAGAAAAATGTTTCATGTCTGTAACTCCTGACTCATCCATGCCTTATCTGTCCCAGCCGTTTTGAATAACAAACACGGAAAGCAAAATAACGCATTAGCGTGATTGCATCCAGCTAGCCAAGCCTTCCTGGTGTACCGATTTCGGGAGCAGCCTCGTGTGTACAATTTACCTCTCTCCTTCTCCTGCTGGCTTATCTTTACGTCGGGCTGATCTGGTCCAAGCTCTTTGACATTAAGTTTTTCCACCATAGTTCTCCTCTCGAACGGATACTGGAGAAGAGACCGAACTGAATGCAGTGGCTGCTGAGATCCGGTATCCATGCTGGTTGTAGTCACTGGCGGTGTCCATGTTACATCTGCGTCACGACCAAAAACGACTCTGCCGAGTTCTACCGAACAGCAACCAAAGCCTTTGGCGGTAGCTCTATCGCCCATCATGCTTCTGAAACAACGTTGACGCTGATTGGATACATTCCCATTCCTACCCTTTGATTTTCTTGTCAGCAATTGGACGGCTGGTCCCGTCCTGTTTGGGCGATTGAAACACAGCCCACAGCCTTTCTGTCGCCTCCACAGCTCGGCAGAGAGCTTCTGACCAATATAGATATATATATATATATGATTTGTTTTTGTTACAAAACACACAATGAACTTAGAATATGTGATTATTGTTAATTTTATTTATTCATTTTTTAAAATAAAAATTAAAAACACTGGGGAAAACTGGGAGGGCGGCGCCCTATCGCCCTCTACTGGCCAGCCGCCACTGCATGACATTCTAGCCCCCTTCAGACAGGCCATGAAAAACGGAAATGTTCAGGACTCTGTCCGTAAGACCTTTGTGTCTGAATACAAACATCCGGATAACGTTTTCCGTAAAATTAACCGGACGAAGCCCCTAGTAACAGGTCTGGACTTGTTACGGACAGGGTGGCTGCTTCAGACTGGTGAGGTCGAGTTCCGGACAAGGCGGAGGGGGAGGAGGGAGGGGACCGGGGGACGCTGTGCGCACCTAGATAGCTTGCTGCTGTAGCATGCAGCTCACCACGGCAGCTCACCACCTACGGTACCGTCTAGACTCGTGACGGAGCGCATCAGAACGCTTCAGTGATTCCTTTAACCATTGAGCTTCATCATCCAGGTCTCTTATGCATCTTCGTGTGCTTACGCAGTTTTCTGACCCGTTTTGTGCGTAAGCAAGCTTGATAAATGAGGCCCCAGTTCATTAAGCCAATCAGTAAAATGTTTCCTATATAAGGAACCCAGCAGGTTGCATCGAGTCACTGACAAACATCTTGTGACAGAAAAAACAGTCTTAGGCCACAGAAGCAAAAAAAATAATAATAATACTGTTTCACTTTGACCAAGTAACCATGTGTCATCAAGTGATTTATGTCTTTCCCAAACCAGTTAAGTGACAATGTGACTTTCTACTGTAACTACCTCTATGACAGATCTCAGACCATTGGCGCAGGTTTAACCTCATAGATGCCACATGTTTGATATTTCCTGAGTGTATTTTACTTCATTATGAAGCAACAAATTCTGGACATGCTATTCTGGTTTGAATTGACTTGCAGCATACACTTAAGCTTCAGATTTAGGTTTGATGACATGATAGAAAACACATTATGTTCCTCTATAATTAAGTCATCTGAAAACTGATCCGAGACAGTTCCTCAAACGCTGCATAAGAGGAAGCTTTTCCATACAACAGCAGCTTTGTTTTTCTAATAATATAAACAACGAAGAACGTGATATGACTACCACTTTGAAGGTGACTTTCTTGCTGTTAGGACCCCAACAGAAGATGTTAAAATGTGAAGGAGGGGGTAACATAAGAACTTGCAACAGTGGAATTAAAAGGTTTAAAAACAAGCTTGCAGACAGATGGAGAGCAGTAATAAAATAATGCCAAATGAATGTTAAACAGCTAAAAGACAACTAACAATGAAAACACCTGGTTCAAACTTTCACCAAACTGGAAGGTGCCATAAAAAACCCACAAAGTTGATACAAGTCCAAAAAGCCGAACAGACAACCTTTAAAAAACAACTAAATCAAAGACCATTAAGATCTTCACTAAGTCAACATGAATTGACATCAGAGGGAATGCCTTCACCACAAGATCCTTCTGGATCATTCTCAGAGTTTTAACTTTTTCAGTTAAATCATCTAAACACAAAAATGGGTTTTAAACGAATTCTGAGGCCTGGAGGACAGCAGAACCCCAGCAATGCTGCCTCCCAGACGGCAGGTATGCCCAGCTTCTTATCCCTGACGCACCTCATCAGGGAGATGAGACTCAGCGTGTTTATGTTGTGTTTTTTCATTGTTGCTCTTATTTTTTCCGTTATGCCTCTGATGTATGGTAATAAACAAAGGAAAACAACAAACAAAAACAGAAAGCAAAGAACAACCCAAAAAAAGAACCAGAAACCCAGAAAGACAAGAACCAAAACCAGTGATAACCCTACCATACATCAGAGGCATAACGGAAAAAATAAGAGCAACAATGAAAAAACACAACATAAACACACCAACAAAGCCATACACAAAAGTTAGAAACAGATTAGTACACCCAAAAGACAAAATATCAGCTGGACAAAAATGTGGAGTCATCTACGAAATCCCATGCAAAATATGCAATAAAACATACATAGGAGAAACCGGACGCCAACTCAATACACGGACAATAGAACACAGAAAGGAGTGCGAGAAAGAGGCAAATCGTAAACACAGAAGAGCAGCAAAAGAAGAAGCAGAAAGTACAATAAAAAAGTCAGCCGTAACAGATCATTGCTTAAGAGAAAACCATATAATGGACTGGGACAGCACACGGATCATAACCACCGAACAACAAAAATACAAAAGATGGATCAAGGAAGCAATAGAGATAAGGAGACGTGGATGTGGGACCATGAACAGGGACGACGGAGTTTACACGCTGGACCACGCATGGGACTGCATCGTCGGAGAGGGGAGAGCGGGCAGTAGAGGGCGACAACGTCCTCTGCT